ACCTCAGCCTCCCAAAGGCGCGGGATTACAGGCTGAGCCACCGAGCCCAGCTAATTTCTTGGTTTTTATTGTAGAGATGAGGTCTCGCCAAGTTGCCCAGACGGGTCTCGAACCCGTGGGTTCAGGCAATCCACTCACCTCAGGCTCCCAAAACGTGGGATTATAGGCCAAGCCACCAAGCCCGATTTAAAAATCTTTTTTCAATTAAACAGGACCAACCAGAGGATCCTTTTTTTTTTCAGTAGGCATTTCACTCTGATGTCCAGGCTGGCTGAAGGGCAGTAGCACATTCCTGGCCACTGCAGCCTCGATCTGCTGGGCTCAGGCCATCCTTCCACCTCAGTCTTCCAAGTAGCTGGAACTACAGGCACATGCCATCACGCCCGGCTAATTTTTTGATTTACTGTAGAGTTGGGGTCTCACCAAGTTGCCCAGGATGGTCTCAAATCCGTGGGCTCAGGCAATCCTCTTGCCTCAACCTCCCAAAGTGCTGGGATCACAGGCGTGAGCCACTACACCCAAGCTAACCAGAGGATCTTAATGGAACCAAAGAGAAGTTTATTCCTCACTGGTGTTAATGCCACACCAGGACCTCCAGGCAGGTCTCAGAAAGTAAGCCTTGAACAGAAAAGTCTTGTTTCAGACATGGCAAAATCAACTACCTTTTCTCCTTAAAATACATGTCTGACAATATAGAATTACATTTCATATCTACAATATGGAACCAGGACAGTCCCCACATGGTCATTACCCAAAGTTCAAAAACTAACTAACTCACTAATTCACAAATAAGGATGGGCACAGTGGCTCACGCCTGTAATCACAGCACTATGGGAGGCTGAGGTGAGAGGATTGCCTGAGCCCACTGGTTCGAGACCAACATGGGCAACTTGGTAAGACCTCATCTCTACAATAAATCAAAAAAAATATTAGCCTGTTGTGTTGGCACGTGCTTGTAATTCCAGCTACTTGGAAGGCTGAGGCAGAAGGATCACCTGAGCCCAGGAGGCTGAGGCTGCAGTGGCCATTAGCATGCTACGGCACTCCAGCCTAGGTGACAGAGTGAGACGCCAGCTCAAAAAAACAAAAACAAAAAAATTCACAAATAATTACCAGAAAAGAGCCACAACTTCCCCATAAAGCCAGACACTGCACAAAAGGGAAGACATTGTTCTTCTATAAGTGGAGATCATGATGCCTCCCTTGCTTGGTTTGTCAAATTAGAAGACTAAAGAATATAGGTGGCTGGGTGCAGTGGCTCAAGTCTGTAATCCCAGCACTTTGAGAGGCCAAGGTGAGGGGACTGCCTGAGCCCACAGGTTCGAGAACAGCCTGGGCAACTTGGCAAGAGCTCATCTCTACAATAAATCAAAAAATTAGCCAAGTCCGGGCACAGTGGCACATGCCTATAATCCCAGCACTTTGGGAAGCCGAGGTGAGAGAACTGCCTGAGCCCATGGGTTCAAGACCAGCCTGGGCAATTTGGCAAGACCTCATCTCTACAATAAATCAAAATATTAGCCGGGCATGATGGCTCATGCCTGTAGTTCCAGCTACGTGGAAAGCTGAGGCAGAAGGATCGCCTGAGCACAGAAAGTCAATGCTGGGGTGGCCGTGAACATGCCACTTTACTCCAGCCTGGACAACAAAGTGAGAAACGAAAAAAATAAATAAATAAATATACATAAAGCACTTGACAGAATGCTCACCATATGGCAACACTATGGTCATGTCTGAAGAAGGCTGACACACCTCTAACCTTTTGATCTCTAACCCTTCTCCAGGTCCCAGGTGGTAAGCTGGAGAGAAAGACAGTATAGCCCTGAATAATGACTCTTAGAAGCAAGGTTTCAAGATTGCAGCAATTTTCTACTCTGTTAAGTAGGGAAACTATAGACCTGGTAGAGAGAGAAATGTATTTGCCTAAATATCAGCAGGTATGATTTTCCCTCTGGAAGGACTAGCAACAACTGTGAAGATCAGAACGGTGGCCTTCTTTCTCATGAGTCTGGTCTACAGAAGGCGTTAACAGTTTGGGTGTCTGTTCCAGGACTTGCCTTCCTCCCCTCAAAAGGATTATTTTCGCCAGGCTCGGTGGCTCAGCCTATAATTCTGCGCCTTTGGGAGGCTGAGGTGAGTGGATTGCCTGAGCCCATGGGTTCAAGAC